GGTGCCCACCTGGCCCTACAGCTGCCGGAGACCCCCTAACTGCCCCTGGCGACTTCGCTGCTCTCCTCCTTTCTCTCCCCCAGCACCCTCCCAAGGTTCCTGAAAAAAACAAGTCTAGTAACAATGTCTTGACTAGCCAGTTCTCCCCGGCCTGAACGCAGGTGCACTGCCTCCTTCCCTCTTTCACTGGCTAAGATGCACATTTCATCTCCAATCCATTTATAGTATTATCAGCTAAGGGCAAGTCTTGTGCTATTATGTGTGTGCTGGGTGCTCTGCAGGTAGATGCCGTCTCCTAGAAACCCTCTTAACAATTCCGGAGAACCAGCACTCACGACAAAAGGACAAAAGGGAGGGAGGGGGAAAGGACAGGAAGCCGAGGACTGTATTACAAGCACATGGGAAGCACAAAGACAGCTCCTGGAGGAGGGAATGAAGACAGTGGACCAGGAAGAGCCACGTCGGGAGCAAGGGTCTGTTCTCCACGTGCCAGGCCGGCCCTGTGTGTACCCCCGGTTCTGGCGGAATGAGCAGGTCTTACCAGGGCCGGGTAGGGCACTGACTCTGGAGAACTCTTACCACTGCTGTCCTGTGAGTTCGTGAGCCATCCGCGTCTACACGGCACCCGACAATGCCAGTCACACAGCGGGTCTCACATCCGTCTCCCCCACCTCAGCTCGCCCTGTGAACTCAGCGGTGGGCGCTGGGGACCCAAAGTCACGTGAGGCTGTGGATGTTCAATCTGTGGAGAAACCAAAAATGCTGCTAGGGAGACGAGGCACTGTCATTACGCTATCCTTGGTGGTGAAAGAACTGAGAACAAATTCCCTGGGACACGAAAACACTGTCATTTATTTCATCTGCCCTCCTGGTAAAGGTGCCTGCGGACCCACGTTCCGTCTTTCCTCTACCTCTGACACGGCTCATGCTCCTTCCACTGAAACGGCTTTCTGTGAGCTCAGTGTGACCCACCTGCCCAGAGCACGGCCTTCTTCAGGGCGTCTTCTCAACTTCCTCGGGACGGACGTACTCTCACCCCGCCCTCCCGTCTCCGTTCCTCCAGACGGGACACAACACCCCCCGGTTTCCTTACGCATCCCGGACTACTTCTCAGGCTCTGACAGTGCCTCTTTTCCTCCCGTTCCCAGACCCCGGGCCCCTGCGCAGCCCCGCTCCTCCCCTGTCCTACTTTGTGCACGCTCATCCATCCACAGCTGTAACCGTCCCATGACTTCCAGACTTCCTTCTTTCCTTCAAGAACCTTCTCTTCCACGGTCCAGATCCTGGATGTGCCCTTGGACTTTAAAGCTCAAAATACGGAAAAAGAATCTCATATTTTTCTTTCCAAATCTACTCCTCCTGCCTTCCCAAGTTCTATGAACACCACCACTCATGTGCCCAGGTATTCAGAATTTGGGAGTAATCTGAATTTCCCTTCTTGTATATCCAATTTTTGGTCAAATCTTTTTCTTCCTCTTTTTTTTTTTTTCCACGTATGCTCCATGCCCAGCATGCAGCACAACACGGGGCTTGAACTCACAGCCCTGAGATCATGACCAGAGCTGAGATCAACAGTCGGCCGCTCAACCAAGCCACCCAGGTGCTCCTTTGGTCAAGTCTTATACTTTGTCCTCACTGCTGTCACCCTATCAGACTTCAGTACCTACAAGACCAGTGGTTTCCTGTGCTCAACCACCTAAACCCTGTATCAGGCCATTCCAATGCATTATTTATTCTTTAAAGAAATACTAATTATGTCACACATGGGATAAGTGCTAGGTGCGAGGACACAGTGGTGAACATACATCATTTATCATTTTCCTACCATTAACTGGCTCTCCCCTGCCCTCTGAAAGCTTATCCTCAAAACGGGAGAGCCAATTACAGGGCAAGAAGTGCAGAGGTGGCAGTGTTCCAGGAAGAAGTTAGGGCCTGTGGGAAGGTATGTAGGTGTGGAGCTGAAAGCAGGATCTACAAGGAGTGAGGGGCAGTGTGTGAAGTCGGGGACGTAGAAGGGAGGCACCGGATGAAGCCTGCCTGACGTGTGGACGACCGTGTAATTTACTGTTCAAACGAAGACACTTTTTTTCAGGACAAATACTAAAGCAGCTAGGATACCAGATAACAGATGCCAACTCAGATATATGTGAGGCGCCCGGAGGAATCTGTACCTTATCCTCAGGACAATGATAATGCCATGAAGGTGGTCAAGCATGATTGGCTTTGACAGGGTCAGATTTGCACGTTACGAAGATCACTGAAGGGGGCAGAGAATGGACTACAAGTTGCACAAGTGGAGACCAGAAGACGAGTTAGGATAGTCTGGGGAAAACAGGATGCCGGCCTGCACTACAAGATGGCAGGGTTAGAAAGAATTAAAGACGAGAGACATTTAAAATGTAAATTATTCCATTTAAAAGGAATAAACAAGCCTTTGCTGTTGACCATGTGTGGAGGAGAAGAGTTAAGGATGACTGGGGCAACGAGGTGGCTGGTGGTGCCAATAACCGAGACACAGAACACAGGACATACAGGTCCGTGGGGAAGATAATGAGTTGCTGTGGGACCTGCTAGGTGTGAGGTCCTCCTTTAACACAGTTGATGGGTTTGAAGACAGAAGGTCTACAAATTCCCATTAGTTATCTATGGTGGATAACAAATTACCCCAAATTTAGTGGCTTAAAATAACAAACAGTATCTCGGTCTCTATGGGTCAGGAGGCAGCATGGCTAGATGGTTCTGGCTGAGGGTCTCTCAAGAGTCTGTGGTCGGGGCGCCTGGGTGACTCAGTTAAGCAACTGCCTTCAGCTCAGGTCATCATCTCAGGGTCCTGGGACCAAGCCCTGCATTGGCTCCCTGCCAGGGAGTCTGCTTTTCCCTCTCCCTCTGCCTGCCCCCCACTCAACTCATTCTCTCTCTCTCCCTCAAATAAATAACATCTTAAAGAAAAAAAAAAATTTGTGGTCACCTCAAGGTCCGACTCTGAGGATCCACTTCCGTGCTCACTCCCGTGGTTGCAGCTGGCTAAGCAGCCTCAGGACATGACAGCTGGCTTCACCCAAAGCAAATAACAGAAGGAAAGAGGGAGGGGTGCCTGGGTGGCTCAGTCCGTTAGGCATCTGCCTCCGGTTCGGGTCCTGGGATCCAGCCCTGCATCGGGCTCCCTGCTCAGCAGGGAGTCTGCTTCTCCCTCTCCCTCTGCCCCTCCCTCCTGCTCATTCTCTCTCTCTCCCTCAAATAAATAAATAAAATCATTAAAAAAAAAAAAAAAAAAAAGAAAAGGAAGGAAGGAAAAAAAAAAGCAAGGGGAAAAAATACTCAAGGTGGAAACTACAGTCAGCTGTGTCCTATCTGATAGAAGCAAGTCACACTCAAGGGGAAGGGAATGAAGCGCCATCACTTAAATATCCAAGAATCTGTAGGCATGTGTCCAATTTTTTTATCACCACAATATCACAGCCAGATTATGAACTTTCCCAGAGCCCAGTGATGAATTAGGCCACGTTCTCTTCCTCCCCACCACCAGTTCAAAAACCGTATACCTACAGATCTCTCCAAGGTACATATCAACCTTCAGCCTGGTAATGAATTAATTCCTTAACCTACCGTTCTAGCCTCATCTCCCATCCTCCCCTCTGCATGTCCCTGCTCCAGCCACTTACTCCTTTATCTGAAGTCACGCCTTGCCTTTGGTCTAGAAGTCTGGTTCTCAGACTTGAATTCAAAAGACACATGTGACTCCCCTAATGCTCTTCTCAGAACACTAGAAAACGTTGATACACGAGGCCTAACACAACAATTCAGAATACTGTGCTAAAATGAATTCCCTCTGACACGAAATTCTAGAACAGACGAGTGAGGGTAGGTGCCAAGGTTTAAGAACATTTCTTGCACAAGTTGATTATTGACAAAGTCACTATCAGAGACCAGCAGCAGAACATGCCTTCCTCCAGCCGTGGCCATATGGAAGGAGCATTTTGGGGAAACAACATACACAAAAGCCTCCTACTCCCATTCTTTCAGGTCTCAAAAATGTCCACAGCTAGTTGCAAAAAGGCTAGAATCATCTTGCATGTCCATCACAACGCTCCTAAATAAACTGTTCATCTACACGATAGAAGGCGTTTTTAAAGATGAGGCAGAGCACTAGGTACCGACTTGACAATCTCCAACATACATGCATTCGGAGCAAAAGACAACTTACAGAACAATGGGTATATTAGACTACTATTTGCTTTCCAAAAAAGATGATTAAAGGGCGCCTGGGGAGGGCGCCTGGGTGGCTCAGTTGGTTAAGCGACTGCCTTCGGCTCAGGTCATGATCCCAGGGTCCTGGGATCGAGCCCCACACTGGGCTCCCTGGCTCGCAGGAAGCCTGCCGCTCCCCCTGCCTGTGGTCTCTTACCAAATAAATAAATACAATCTTAAAAAGAAAAGATTAAGTTTAAACCCACGCATCCATAAAGAGGAAAAAGGATGAGTACTTTCTAAACGTGCCTGGAACATCCCTGCAAGGCTCCAGGACAACAGGTAGCAGCGGGGACCTCGGGGGACGCGGGCAGGGAGGGGACTCTACCTTTTCCGGCCGCGGGTTACTCCAGCCTGCACGCTTCGGGGTACCCGCGCTGACCTCCCGCCTCTCTCAGACCCGAGGCCCACGAGAGACCGGCGCCGACTCACGGCTCGCGTCCCCGCACCCCGGCCTCCGAAGGGGCGGCGGCGGGCCGGCGCCCGTGGGTGGCAGGCCAGGCCTCGCGCTCTCCCCAAGCCCCTCCCCGCCTCCAGGCGCTCGCTCGATTCCCTCCGTGCACAGTGAGAGCCAGGAGTCGCCAGGCTGCTCCCGCGCCTCACACAAGAGACTCGGACCGCAGGCGCAGCATCCGGATCGGTTCACTCACGCCGCCAAAATCCCGCGGCTGTGACGTCCCGGGGCACAACCCCGCGCTCCCGGACGTGACGCGAGAGCCCGGTCCCGCCCCCCAACTTCCGGCTACGGGCCTGAGCTCGCGCGTGCGCACGGGGGCCCAGTCCTGGGTACCGCGCGCCCGTCTGCACGAGGTGAAGAGCGAAATGGAGGGTTCGGCTTCCAAGCCACTCTCATCCTCAACCGCAGCCTCGGCCTCCGCTCCAGCGACCCCGGCCTCCGTGGAGCAGCTGGACAAAGGACAGGTGAGCGGGAGGGGGGCTCGGAAGCGGGGTGGCCGTGGGCTTGTGAGGCTCGGGGTGCGGGTTCCGCGCCCCCGCGGGCGCCCCCGGAGTTTTGGGAGGGTGGCTGGGTCGCGCTTCGCTCAGCCTGCCCGCTCCTTCCTGCGCGCTGGGAGGTGCCTGTCGCCGCCTAGCCCTGCGGCCTGCCCCCTCCTCCCCCAGGTGGATTGCAGGTGCAGCCTGGGCTTCCGGGGTGAGATCCACCTAGCTCCGTTTGCCCACCGTTGACTTGGGCAGGTTGCTTAATTCGGCAAGCTTAAGTGACCTCAGGTTTAAAAGGGCCTCTGCTGGCCTCGGCTCCTCCCCGGGATCAGAGGAGGCAAGGCCCGTGAAGCTCTGTAGCCAGGGGCCTGGCACATAGTAAGCGCTCAGTGAATGCTAGTTGTGGTGTTTAGCGCTTTTCCCGGGATTGCTGCCTTAATCATCGAGGGCCCGGCAAGCATGTTCCCACCTGGCGCGAAGCCTTCACGTGGGAGAGGCTCTCTTCTGTAGACGGGTGCTGAGCGGATACTTAGGTGGTTTCTGATGGAGTCTGATCCCAAATTGTAGGATCCTGATACAGACGGTTGTGGAGGTTGCCTATTCAAATAGAATTTGAGGAGGGAAAAAAAAGGAAAAAATGCGGAGGAGGGGGCAAATGCTAAATTAGATTGAGATTTAATTTATTTGTGTGTCTCTACTTTGCAGATTAGAAAGGCGGTGGAAGCTCTGTTGGCACATTCCAAGTCCAGGAAAAACGCCAATGGATTGCTTTTGAATGAGAATGAAAATTTCTTTTTAATGGTGGTATTGTGGAAGATTCCAAGTAAAGAACTGAGGGTCAGATTGTGAGTTCTGATTTTCTACTTTTGCCCTTGTTATCTGCTCAGTCATTCGGTATAGCTGTTAACAATTGCCCTTTTGTTTCTAGTGGAAACTTTGCGAACTCAAAATATGAGTTGAAATATGAAATTGTGCCTTGAAAAAAAAAAAGCAGACATGCTTAAATTTCCTAAAAATTTCGGCAGTTTTCGGGGGCTGGTTGGACAGTTAACCTAAGCAGTTCTACTGAATCTGAAACCTGGTTTTTAGAATAAATTAAACAGCTTTTGTGTTTGTATAATTCTGTTATCCTTCCATATCATGCTAGTTCCAAGCTAAACTACTGAGGTCCCGGACTCACTTCTTCAAGTAAAGATGATTAAAAACTTAATGAGGAGCGATGAGCTCCTTCTGGAAAACCCATGGTGATCACACGTTCTTACTACTGTAGGACTCCGAGGTCAGAGATGCCCACTCTGCAGAGTTGCCAGACTTAGCAAATAAAAATACAAGTTATTTTTTTTTTTAAGATTTATTTACTTATTTTAGAGCACGAGTGGGATGGGCAGAGGGAGTTATAATTTTAAGCAGACTCTCTGCTAAGCAGCAGAGCCCTGTGTAGGGCTCGATCCCCCAACCCAGAGATCATGATCTGGGCCAAAACCAAGAGTCGGATGCTTAACCCACTGTGTCACCCAGGTGCCCCAAAATATAAGTTAATTTTTAGTATAAGTAGGTCCCATGTAATATTTGGGGCATAATTATACTAAAAAAATTACAAAGATTAAATTTAACTTGTGCTGTTTTCTATCTGGCACCCCTGCTTCTGTGGAGTCTTTCATTTCCTGACTGTCCAAAAAAAGCCAGGTGTGCTAAAGAAAGTATATCGGATAGATGGTTTCTTTTCTTTTCCCCATGAGTGGGGACGCAGGACTGGTAAGAATGATTAGAAATTGGAAAGAGTCTTGGATCCTCAGATTCTCTTAACTGATGATCACAGACCTGCCCCAGCCAGTTGCCTTAGTTACTGTGTTCTGTATCCCGCACACATTCTTTTATTCCACACCTTTGCTCAGGCAGTTTCTCCTTTCTGGGAAGCCCTGTCACTTTCTCTAGGATATTTTCCCAACTCCTCACCTCGTGATGATTCCTGCCATTTCCCGGCTTGGTATCACTTCCCATCGTGTTTGGCAAGTAATGTGTGTGCACCCCTCAGGCCAAGGAAATGTTTCCTCAGAACACATAGGCCTAGGAAATGGGTGAAACCTTATTCTCGATATAAGACTCAACTGTAATAACACGTGTTTGCCAGTCCCTGTTGGTTTGCTCCATATTTTCTATTCAGCTCTGAAGGAGCTATGTTGTTCATGGAGCCCAGAGTTTTCTGCAAGGTAAAGTTCTGAACCAGAACTATCCTGATGAAACCAGATTATTCTAGCATGTTCTAGTACGTGTGCATATATAATAACATATAAAATAATAACCTCATGTGCACTACTTTGGGTGTCTTTGTTAGTGTTCTAACTCTGGTTATATCCCACATAGTAATTAATACTTTGTTTATTTTGGGAGAGGAGGGAGAGGGGGAGAGAAAGAATCTTAAGCAGACTTCACACCCAGAGTGGAGCCCAATGTGGGGCTCGATCTCGCAACCCTGAGATCCTGACCTGAGCCGGAACCAGGAGCCACCGACTGAGCCACCTTGGCTCCCCTAATTAATATTTTGGACTCTGGGTATTTGTGGTGATTTACTTGAATCTTAAATCTCTTCTCCATACCATTGAAGACTAGATATATTTTTAAATGTTCTTGGTAGAGTATTTGCTTAAATAGCGTGAATGAAGTTTGTTGAAATGACTGAATTTATTGTGTATTCTGTGGAATAGAAGCATACGTTTTCTTCCTCTGTTATAATGCTTTCTTCCTCTGTTCCATCTCTGTATTTTGCAGGTCCTTGCCTCATGGTATTCGATCAGATTTAACAGATATTTGTTTACTTACCAAGGATGAACCCAATTTAACTCCTGAAAAGACAGAACGGTTTTACAAGAAGCTTTTGAACAAGCATGGAATTAAAACCATATCTCAGGTCAGGAGTGGTTAATATTTTCAGGACAATTAAAAGATCTGATTCAGTCTTTGAAGTGATAAGTAATACATTTCTGTACTACCTACTAACCTAGTATTTCTTTCCTAGAGATTTTATTTTTTTTTATTCATTCGTTCATTCATTCAGAAATTTTATTTTTTCATAATCTCTTCACCCAACGTGGGGCTTTAAACTCACGACCCTGAGATCAAGAGTCACATGCTTCACTGACTGAGCCAGCCAGGTGCCCCTAGGAATTTAATTTTTAATTTAATTTTTTCTTTCTGATTTTCACTGGCTTTAGTAAGGCATGTTCCATCTTCTCTATGATGAATGAGCTGTTAAGGTTTCTTGACCTAAAAGCTAACATGTACGTCAGTAACTTTTTTTTTTTTTTTTTTAAGATTTTACTTATTTACTTGCGAGAGAGCACAAGCCGGGAGAGAGGGAAAGGGAGAAGCAGGCTCCCCGCTGAGCAGGGAGCCTGATGTGGGGCTTGATCCCAGGACCCCAGGACCATGGCCTGAGCCAAAGGCAGACACCTAACTGAGTGCCACCTAGGTGCCCCATCAGTAACTTTTATATCTTGAAGAGTTTACGGAAGATTGCTCCAGTAGGTCAAGGTCGGCACTTCCAGAACATTCCCGGGCTTGCCTGTGACTTGGCACTTCCCGTAGTGGTTTGTAGTTTGTTGGTGTCCTTTCTTTATGTGGCGTCCCAGGTCATCTCTTTGTCCCCATCGGTTAGCACGGTGCCTGGCCCCTGCTCGGTGCTCTCCACATGTTCACTAAACGTGGCTCTGGGACATTTTTAAGATCCGGACACAGTTATAGCCTGAGTATTTCTAATTTTTGTTCAAGTTCTTAACTTTCTGTGTTTTTCCTCTTCCTTGTGTTTTCTAGATTATCCCCCTCCGAACTTTAAAAAAGGAGTATAAAGCCTATGAAGCCAAGCTCCGCCTCCTGGGCAGTTTTGACATCTTTCTCACTGATGCAAGAATCAGGCGGCTCTTGCCATCCCACCTAGGGAGACATTTCTATCACAGAAAGAAGTAAGTTTCTTAGCAGTAACTGGGTTTGAGCAGAGTGAACTTCGTAGATGTATATACATTCTGCTCCAAGCACCTGTGTGTTCTTACAGAGTTCCGGTGCCTGTGAACCTTCTAGCCAAGAATTTATCCAGGGAGATCAATGAATGCATAGGTGGAACGGTCTTAAACATCTCTAAAAATGGTTCCTGCAGGTAGGTCAGAGGTAACGATGTGTGCCCGTGTCCAGTCTTATAGTCATTTGATAATGATTGCATAAATCTTTTTTTTTTTTTTTTTAACAAGGTCGTCTTAATGAAACCAGATCCTTCTATTAAAACTAAGGTCCGTCCCTCAGAAGTTTTTAATTCTCTAGAAAAGTGCCGTCCCATAGAACTTTCCACAGTGATGGAAGTGGTCCGTATCTGGGCTCTGTACAGGAGTCATTAGCTGTACATGGCTGCCGTGGCCAAGGAACTGAATTTCTAATGTTACTTGATTTCAGTTAATGTAAACTGAAATAGGCAGGTGTGGCTCGTGGCTAGTATTTACTGTGTTGGCCGGGGCACCTCTAGGTATTGCAGCAAACAAGGACAAAACTAATGCTTAGGGAATGTCAGCGGTTCTGGGCTTTTTTGTGTTTCCCTGGCTCATACTACCCGTTACAGGGAAGATCCCCTTCAGTCTTGGTTTAACTCCTTGTTCAGTGAATTCATTATCCGTCCTGTCTCATCATGCCGTCGGGCGTCTCTTTGTTGTCACACTGATTTCTTCTGACTCAGGATGCCAAGCTGGGTGGAACCCCCACACCCAGCCTCAGAAATCAGGAGAGACCTTTTGGGGTGGTGGTGGGTCCCCAGCTAGACAGAGAATGTGGCTCCACCTTTTTTATGAGGCTGAGGGGCCAGTTTGAATGCTTGGCAGTTGAGCAGGAGGAGGGGATTTTTAAACATATTCAGGATCATTTTTTTTTTAAGACTGTTTATTTATTTGAGAGAGAGAGAGAGCACAAGCAGGGGGAGCAGGAGGAGAGGGAGAAGCAGGCTTCCTGCCGAGCAGGGAGCCCGATGCGGGACTCGATCCCAGGACCCTGGGATCATGACCTGAGCCGGAGGCAGACGCTTCACCAACTGAGCCACCCAGGCGCCCCCAGAATCATTCTGAAAAATAAGCTGCCTGGGGCATCTGTGGAATGGGGATGGGTAGCTGCCAGGATACCCCAGGAGTCTCTGTGTACCCAGGGGAGGCACCCATGGTAAAACTGACCGCCAGGATGTCTAGACTCTGCTCCCCGGGGCGGTTCTGGGGTTGTCATCGGTCTGCAGGTGGCCGATCCCTTAACGGGCTGTAACGAAGCGGCTGAGAAGAGTTGGTGGTCAGGCCTGGGCCCGACTCTGGTTGTAGGCCGACGTCAGAGTCATGGCTCATGGGCAGTGATGAGCTAGCAGATCGGAGGCCTGGGGGCGTGGGATGGATGAGCAGCAGGGAGGGGGGCGGCACGCAGAAGGCAGATGAAGGAGCAGCGATCTCCTCTTTTCCTCCGGGAGACTTGCGGGCAGCTAGCAGACAGTACAGACGCCTGAACCATTCTGGGCTCTCCTTTCACACCCACCCCCCTCCCGCTGCCCCTCGTTCTGTCCTTTTCCCTCTCTCCCGTCCCCTCCCCTGTCCTCTCTCTCCCTCACTGCTTGTCATCTTCCCGCCTGGGAAACCAAGGGTGTGCTTGCAGCCGGCAGTGAGCACACAGCGGGCAGAGCCCTGTCTTTGGCTGGAGGGAGGTGACAGCACCAGCCCCGTCTCGTCCTCATTCTGCGACCCCCAGCAGACCATGAGCCTGCCTTCCGGCTCCCGCAGCGGAGGAACAGGGGACCCTATGGCTGAGCAGTAGAGGAACTTTCCACTTGGCTTCTGTCTGCGCCCTGCTTCCGCTGAAGGGATGGTCTTGCCTTTGGCCCGAAGACTCTTTTACACGAGGGACAAGAACTGTTGGTCTTAGAGATGACAGCTGGGTCAGGGCAGGGGACCATGAGGATGCAAGCATCCCTCCTAGCGGTCTTTCCTTCCCGAACAGCCCCTCCTCAGGAAAGCTCGAGGGCCAACTCTGTGACCCGTGTTTTCTAGAATGAAGGTAGAACTTCCTTCAGCCCTGCCCACTGACCGATAGGCCTCACAGAGCGGCTCCTCCATCACCACTTCACGGTGTGATGAATTTCAGGCGCAGGGCATTGCTAGAACACGAAGAGAATAATCTCCCTTTAAAACAGATTGAACGTAAGCAAGACAAGCCAATCAGAGAAAGACCGTTATCGTACGATCTCACTCATGTGGAATTTGAGAAACAAAACAGGATCATAGGGGAAGGGAGGGAAAAATAAAACAAGATGAAATCAGAGAGGGACACAAACCACAAGAGACTCTGAATCATAGGAAACAAACTGCCGGTTGCTGGAGGCAAGGAGGTTACTGGGGGAGGGACATGAAGGAGGGCACGTGATGCAATGAGCACTGGGTGTTACATACGACTGATGAATCACCTCTATCTCTGAATCCAAGAATACGTTATATGTTAATTGAGTTTAAATAAAAAAATCAGTTGTATATAACAACTGCAAAAGAAGAAACAGTGAAACCCTAAAGATTTTAAGGTTTCTACCTCTGATTTTTTGGCGGGGGGGTCACGTATTTATGTTTCTCCACCTGCCTGTGCTTTATTTTGAAACACAAGTTATTTTTTTTTAATCTTTGTGTCTGATATTGTATTAAATTCCAGTACTATCCGCGTTGGCCACACTGGAATGGAGGTTGAACACGTCATTGATAACATCATCGCCGTCACGAAGGGGCTTTCCCAAAAGTTGCCAGAGGTGCGGTCTCACCAGTGCATCCATTGATTGATTGTGTAAAAGAACCAGAACCCACACCGGTAATACCATTCTTGTCTGTTGCAGAAGTGGGAGAGCGTGAAACTCCTGTATGTGAAAACCGAGAGGTCCGCTTCCCTGCCCATCTTTTCCTCATTTGTCAGCTGTCAGGATGAAGCCAAGGGATTATGCACCCCCAGTCAGAAGAAGAAAGTGAGTAGGATTTTACATACCGGGTGGGCTTAGTCACAGGTGTAAACACAGCCCAGGAAAAGGAGCGCATGCCCTTTCTGCCTGACCTGCAGTGCTTTCCCAGTGGTCCTGCTTTTGCGTGCGTTCTTCCCGCTTTACAGATGAGATCCGTTAGCAGTGGTGTGAATAAAGCATTTCGGGGTACAAATATCTCGTGTTTATTGGTACGTTAGTTAAGTGGCCCGAGTAGGCTCAGCGGGGCCCCGTGTAGTGGCAAGAGAAGCTAAAGGAAAACCAAAATCTAGTTCATTAAGAACATTTTTCTGGGCGCAATTTACTATTGCGTTGGGCTAACAGATAACCCCTCAGTTTGGGAGTGTAGGTTTTCAGTGCTATTGCAAAAAAAAAAAAAGCCAACATGAGGGAAAATTCCGTTTTCTTGCTGTTTGTTAGACCAGTCTCCTAGTTTGCTAACACTTTTCTTTAGCCATGTTAATCACGTGCAGTGGGTTTTTAATTTGGGTCTTTTAATTTTTCTTTTTTCTTTTTTTTTACTTGTAAAAGTTGTGTGTTTCAACTTTTTCAAATTGGCTTTACGTCTTTTACTTTCTTATTACCTCCCTACAAATGGTTCTCCAATTTACCGTAATTCCTGGAACATGTTAAGCATTCCTATTCTATCGTCGGATCATTTGAGCAGCACCATGCTGGTGTCCCAGCCGGTTCTGTGTCCCTGCTGGCTCCTTGTGGACCTGGTTGTCTTTGTACCAAAATGATTGGTACAAATAATCTGAGGTGTGAGATAAAGATCTTTCTCTAGAAGATTTCCATTTCCGTCTGCTGGGCACCTCAGGGCCCTGGGCCTGGGGCTCTCTGAACGCACATTTCAGGGCTTGAGATTCCCTGAATGATTCCGAGCAAACAATGCTGAGACTCTGCACAGCCCCACTTCCTGTTTGTCTTTACCCCAAGAGTAACTCACTGGCCTCCCAGCTTATTGTGGGAGGTTCCTCTTACAATCCCTGCCTGGTGGGGACACTGGGATTTGATTTCTCTCCATCGACCCGCACCCCCTGGTAACATAAAAATTAGGGATCCGCAAATACTCTTGGCAGAATTTGCCTCTGGGCTCACTTACCCACTGGGTTGTTGTTTCAGATGTCTTGCAGGTAGTTGGTTCCTTGATGCCTTTAAGGAAAAAAAAATTTAATATATTTTACCCCACTTTTGTTTTACTTATTTTCATTGGGAAGGTGACCCAGAATAACAGACTGCTGTTACCAGAAGCAAGAAATCTGAATTTTTTGCCATTTGTTAGCAGATTGATTTGAGGACTTGGTGAAAATGTTGGAATTGCTGGTTAAAATGGAATCGGACACAGTTATGGATGTTATTGAACAGGACTCTGTGGTTAGGATAATGGACCTCTAGCTGTGGAAATGTTTTACTGTTTTACTTACAGCTACCAGCCTGCAGTAGGGAAAAAATGATCAGTTGTGGGGGGTTTTTTTTTGAAATTGTTTTATTGAGACGTAAATCACGTCAGAATACTCTGCAATTTAGGATAATTCTTAACTCCCCCATAAACGAGATCAACTTTCACGGAAGCTCCAGCTGCAACCCAGGTTCTGAGTCCCGACGTGTAATTCACAGAGCGAGCATCTTCGGCTCTGAGTTAAAACCAAACTGGAGTCGACGCTCACGTGCTGGTAATGGGGTTTGTTTGCTCGGAGTTGGTACAGATCGAGGCACTTTTCAGAAGCCTAGGGGGAATCAGAACTGCAAGTGCCGAATCTCTGCCATTTATTTGCCGACAAGTATATCCCTTACTAAAATTATGCTTGGGGTTTTGTGTGTGTGTGTTGTAGGAAGCAAAGAAAAAACAAAAACAAAAAGAGTATCGTGAAAAACAAAAAGAGAAGAAGAAAAACAAAAGGCTTATGAAACAGGCTAGAAAAGCTCCGTCGGCCCCGGAGAAGGAGGACGTGGGCCCCAAAACTGGTGGTACCGCAGCACCCAACCCTACCCCCAGGAAGGAGGAGCCAGGAGCGCTCGAGAAGAAAGAGGGCAGTGGAGTGAAAGCTCGGTCTAAAGTGCAGGAGGAATCCGAAGACGAGATCCCTCTGCTGGTGCCTATAGGGAAGACGCCAGCGAAAGGAAACGCAGAGGTATTTTCTTTGATTTTCTTTAGAATTGTAGGAAACACTGCCCATGGTTTCCAGAAGCGGGCCAGGGCAGAAATGTGAGCAGTGGTTCTGTTGCTGACGGTGAGTCCTGGATCCCCCATGTCCTAAGCCTTAGAAAACCAAGCACGGCCAGGGCGGGCTTGGGTGCTGGGCTGGGTTCCGAAACCTCTCCAACGCCCCACCCCCGCTGGCTCCTGGAATCCGACTGCATGGATTTCACAGGATCGTTTAAAGGAACAGAGTTTTTTAACTTTTTGGTTCTTCGGTACGGTTTTTCCTTGTTCTCACTGTCCATCCAGCTGCTAGGAGAAGGCCTCTTGAACATGAGGCGGGGGAGGAGAGGGTGTTAAGAGCCCAGAGGGCTGTCCTCACCGCGGGTGCAGCCTGCATGTCCCTGGTGTCAGGCTTGGCCTTAGCATGTGGGAGTGACAGTCCCAGGGCTAGCCCTGCCCTTGACCCATTTGGTATTTTGTCCGGTAGCAGCAATCCCTAGAATCATCAGGGTGTTTAAATTTTCATGTCCTGGCAAAAGTATTCCTTGTAAAGGTCCCCCCTGCCGAGTGCTACTGAGGTTTTAAATCTACTTGAAGTAAACACAAAGGATCAGTGTATTACCTGGAAGCGTTGTAGTTGTTTTTAACAAAAGCACACTGTGTGTGTGTGTTCCCACGGGACGGGATGTAATATGCTGGAGATTGGAAGAGGGGAAGGCATAGCTGACCGGGTGGGGTGTAGCTAGAGCCGTAGAAGTGTTCGTGCCCTTTGAACCCAGCTAGGAAATAGGATCAGGGTAATGACCTGCAGAAGTTTCATTGTTCACTGTAGAGGCACAGATTGAGGACACATCATGGACCCTTGCAGTAGTTTTTATGAGTAATTCAAAATGATGTTCAGTCAGGAAATACTCAGTGACCTCGGAAATACTAATGAAGTTATTGGGGAAAGGGCATAACATTTGGCTTGCTTGCATGCGTTTATTTATTATTTATTTATTTTAAGATTTTTTTTATTTGAGGGACGCCTGGGTGGCTCAGTCGGTTAAACATCTGCCTTTGGCTCGGGTCATGATCTCAGGGTCCTGGGATCAAGTCCCGCATCGGGCTCCCTGCTCGGCGGGGAGTCTGCTTCTCCCTCTGCCTGCTGCTCCCCCTGCTTTGTGCTTTCTCTCTCTCTCTCTCATAAACAAAGAAGTAAAATCTTCAAAAAAAAAAAAAAAAAGATTTTTTATTTGAGAGAGAGAGCATGGGTGGTGGGGGGGGTGGCGTAGAGGGAGAAGCAGACTCCCCACTGAGCAGGGAGCCTGACGTGGGGCTCGATCCCAGGACCCTGAGATCAGGACCCGAGCCGAAGGCAGATGCTCAACCGACCGAGCCATCCTGGCGCCCTAGCATTTGGCTTTTAAATGCATGCACACTTGTGGGGGGAAGGTAGTGAATAAGAGGTAGTTAATACGGTGTGCCAAAGTTATTAGAGAATTTTGTTTCTTGTATTTCTTATGTTTTACGAATTTCCCATAACAATCCTATCATTTTATATTTACTGAAAAGCAAAGTTTTGCTTTGCTCACTGTTTTTGTCTCTCTAACCTCCTCCCATATTGGACGCGTCTGTCGCTAGAGTGCTGTCCCCCCTGTCATCTGGACTGCTGGGAAATCCCAGCCTCCTGGCGTGCGACACTCTGTCCCCTCCAAGAGCCTCTCGGTCTGCCTTTGGGAAGCAGGGTTTCCTGACAGGCGGCCCGGGTGGTTTTTACACACTCAGTTTGGGAACCTCCTGTCCTCACCCACAGGCAAGGAATATACAACTGAAGGTGGAGAAGAGTCAGGATTGGGGCACAGGCTCTCTGCGGTGCTCCCAGTGGGTGATTCCGGGTGTCCCCACGAAAGGCAAAGGCAGTCCTCTGTTGATTGGACCCGGGAGAGCACCAGGGTCCTTGCTACGGTCCTTAGTAACAGAAAACAGTTGCCTTTCAAAATGCCTGCAAGGCAAAAGGCAAAGCCATCCCTCATCTCATTGTATTGGGCTGCCCCTTCTGGGGGTGACATGATAAAGACGACAGTTTTCAGAGTGACATTGTCAGGGTTTGTCTTCCCTTGGACTTAATTCCCTGCTTTTTCTTAGGTGCAAAAACACGCCACAGGAAAGAAGTCTCCAAAAAAGAGTCCTGCTCCCAGCACACCCCGTGGGAAGAAGAGAAAGGCGTTTCCGAGTTTGGAGACCCCGAAGGCTGCAGAGCCCAAGACCCCAAGCAATGGCCTGGGGAAGAAGCCAAGAATCAGAGAAGAGGCAGAGAAAGAAAAAAACTCTTCACTGGGGAAAAAAGACCCAAGACAGATGACCAAAAAGCCAGGGGCCAGGTTCTTCACTACTGCTAGTAAATCTGCGAAAAAAGCTCCCCGCACCCCCAAACAGTGGCTCAAAAAGCCCAAAGTACCCCAGTCAACCTAAAAATCAAGAGACTCAAGCAGAAGGAAACATCTACACTCCCCACAGAGCTTTTTAAAAATGCCGGGGTCCCGGGCCCCACGCCATGCATTCTTCTCCCGGGGTGAGGCCCAGACTTACCTATTTTTTAAAACCTCCGCAAGTAATCCTGACATATGTTTGTGTGTGTGCGAACCAGTAGTTCTGAAGTAAATCCATTTTTTAAGTTGCTCTTCTAGCATTTGCTAATAGGACGGGGAAAATACAGTGCTCCTCTGTGGTGGTTTATTATTAAAGTGTACCATTTGCTTCTGAGCAAACCAGCGGCCTTCCCTGTCTTGCTGGTTTTACTTGAATCCCTCTGATGTGACCCTCTCTGCCGTCTGTTTCCCACCCTCTGTTCACCTAGGCTCCATACACCAGTTTGTGCAAGCCCTCCCAAAGCTTGTCCGCATTACCGGGATGGGCTCGCTGCCGGACACTCGGCTGTGGAACGTAGGAGAAAGTCTTGGTGGGTTTTGGGAAGGGCCCTTGAAATCGAAATAATTGATCTCGGTGGCAGTCCGCCACGGCTGTGGGTCATTGAGTCAGCGTGCATTCGGTAAGGTTAGTTACCAGGGAGCTGTTGACAGAGGCACTGAGTTGAGTCCTGCCTGCTAGAGGCAAGAAGTAGTCCCGTCTTCCTCCAGAGCCCTCCTCAGCCTGTGTGCATTTACTCAGTGTGGACTGTGTACATTTGGGATGACCGTCAGATATACTCTGAAGCCGTAAATGACTCAGCCTCTCCCTGGGTTGGAATGGGGGTCCACGTCCCTGGCAGTGAGCGATGGACACACTGTCCTAGTGACCAGTGAAGTGTGCTTTCCAAGATGACATGGTTCGGAAACAAGTCAGGCTTCAGGTGGTCCTCCTTCAAGTCCGAGGAGCCAAAGCTTTTGCTTTTTGGATTGTAATGTTTTGTAAATCACGAGAGCCTCTAAAATACTCAAGTGTGCGTTTAATGTCGAGGATGAGCGTAACCGTGTTTCCCACAGAAATGAGGTGCTGTGGGGACGCGGCCAGACTGGCTTCAGAGATGGAGATTTAAGTGCTGTTTTGCAGAGGCAAACTCATGGACATAATCATGCTAGTCCTTTCTACGGGGTCGGGGGATAGCTGTGTTTCGTGTTTTCATCCCAGCCTCTAGCCAAATAAAGAGTTTGCGACACCCAGGTGATTCTTTGGTCTGTGGCTTGGTCCTGATTGAACGTGAAGCAACTGTTTACCTTCCTTGTCCTTTGTGCATCGGGTTTCACTCCTAAATTCTCTACGGTAGAAATGGCAGATTTACTGAAACTTCCTCAGTTGGGGAACGGGTGAAAATTCGGAATTGCAAGGAAAAGGCACAAGTCATGCTACTAGGTTTCTAGTAGCTCAGGCACGATCCCAGCTGACTGATAGGGCTACGAACTGTCAGCGGTCTCCCCAGGGGCCCAGAGGAGTATGAGAGATCTCTGCTACAGTGGATCACGCTTTTGGGGTTCAAGAGGTAAGTATGTGGCTGATGTTTTTTTTTTTTTATAAAGATTTTATTCATTTATTTGAGAGAGAGAATGAGAGATAGAGAGCATGAGAGGGAAGAGGGTCAGAGGGAGAAGCGGATGCGGGACTCGATCCCGGGACTCCAGGATCATGACCTGAGCCGAAGGCAGTCGCTTAACCAACTGAGCCACCCAGGCGCCCGTGGCTGATGTTTTTGTTTTTTGTTTTCGATTTGTTTTTTAGAGGAAGAGTGTGAGCTGGGGGAGGGGTAAAGGGAGAGGGAGAGAGAATCTCAAGCAGACTCCGCACTGAGCGTGGAGCCCGGTGCAGGACTGGATCCCACAACCCTGAGATCATGACGTGAGCTGAAACCATGAGTCAGACACAACCAGCTGTGCCTCCCAGGTGCCCCATCACATGTGTTAAGGGTTTAAATAGCAAAGAAGTCTGGCCATTTTATTAGATATCTGAAGGCTCTGCACTACCTACATTTCTTTCTCCTTAAATTGCTGTTTCCGGGTCACCTGAGTGGCGCAGTGAAGCGTCCAACTCTTGATCTGAGCTCAGATCTTGAGCTCAGGGTCGTGAGTTCAAGCCCCACATTGGGCTCTACGCTGGCATGGAGCCTGCTTAAAAAAAATTGCTACTGTTTTCCCTGTGTTAATATGCGCAGCATCAAGATTCCCCATAGGACATTACAAATGATCAGAGGCCCTCATCAGTCCTTGGGTTTTAAAGGAATTAACGCATGTGGTGATGGACCACAAATTTGGGATTATTTTGGGATGATGGGCTTGGAGAGAAAATGGCAACTCTTTAGATGTTTTTTGTTTGTTTATTTTTAGGTTTTATTTATTAGAGCCAGAGCACTGGCGGTGGGGAGAGGGGGAGGGACCCCAATGAGGGGCTCGATCCCAGGACTCCAGGATCATGACCTGAGCCAAAGGGAGACGCTTAACCAACTGAGCCTCCCAGGCGCCCCCAAGGCAATCTGATTTTTAAAATGAGCAAAGGATCTGAATGGACATTTGCCCAAAGAAGATCTACAAGTGGCCAACAAGCACAGGAAAAATTGAACATCATTTATCATCAGGGAAATGCAAATCAAAACCATGAGATAACAGCTTCACACCACTAGGATGGCTCTAACCCAAAAGCCACTAACAAGATGGATGTGGAAAAATTGGGCAGGGATAGGCAAAATAGGTGAAGGGGATTAAGAAGTACAAACTTCCAGCTATAAAATAAATCAGGGGGATGAAAAGTACAGTATAGGGAATAGAGTCCCTAACATCCTAACCCTGTATGGTGGCAGATGGTAAGGACAGTTCTCCCAATGTGCATAGCTTCGTGTGTAGAATTGTGAGATCACTAAGGTGTACCCCTGAAGCTGACAACATTGTCAAGTACAGACTTAATCCGCACTTAGAACAGTGCCTGACCCATACACGGTGCTTAACAAACAGATCAGTTCACCGAAAAACTATGCAATCATTACAAATGACAGACATATCTAAACACATGAGTAAAGAAGTATTTAGACTAAATATTTAGGGGCACCTGGCTGGCTCAGTCAGTGGAGCGTGTGACACTCGATCTCAGGGTCATGAGTTCAAGTCCCACGTTGAGCGTGGAGCCTACTTAAAATTAAGGAATAGAAATAAATAAGTTAAACATGGTGGGATGTTTGCTATTTATTAGTAATGGGACAAAAAAAGTTACAGTACACACAATCTCTTTCGAATTCTATCTTAAAGTCTCTAAGGGCATCAAAAGACTGGAAAATAGCCACACAATGCTAATAATGGTTATCTCTGGCTGGGGAATTCAAGTTGTTTTTATTCTTTTTCTTTTTTTTAAAGATTTTTATTTTTAAATAAGCTCCCCACCCAATGGGGGGCTCGAACTCACAACCCCGAGATCAAGAGTTGCATGCTCTACCGACTTAGCCAGCCAGGTGCTGGCTTTTTGTGTGGACATGTTTTCAACTCCTTTGAATAAATATCAAGGAGCACAATTGCTTGATCATATAGTAAGAGAACTAGTTTAGTTTTATAAGAAACCATCAAACCGTCTTCCAAAGTGGCTGCACCATTTTGCCTTCACCAGTGGTAAACGAGAGGCCCCTTTGCTCCACATCCTCATCAGCGTTTGGTGGTGTCCCTGTTCCGGATTTTGGCCATTCTCATATTCGTGTAGTACTATCTCCTCATTTTAGTTTGCATTTTTCTTATGACATATGATGTGAAATAGGCTTGTTTGCCATCAGTATATCTTGTTTGGCAAGGTGTCTATTAGGATCTTTGGCCCATTTTTTAATCAGGTTGTTTTCCTGGTGAGTTTTAAGAGTTCTTTGTATATTTTCGATAATTGTGCTTTATCAGATGTATGTTTTGCAAATATTTTCTCCCGCTCTGTGGTTGGTCTTCACATTTTCTTGAGGTATTCTGTTTTGAAATGACCATATGACTTCTGTGCTTGTTTTTTCTATCTCTGAAATGGGAACGCCACCCTGAGATATTTTTAATGTGCTCTGAACCCTTTTGCCTGCGAATCTGTAAATAATACTGTCCCCCAAAGATAAACACAGTTAATATTTTGATATTTGATATATTTCTTACAATATTTTTTCCTGTGCATAAGTATTTTTTCTTCCAGTCTATCTTTTCCAAGTTATTTTGTAATAACTTTATTAAATACCAGCACTCCTTCACTTGAGTCCCTTAAATGTGTGTCATTAAAACCATGGAGAAAATGTAAAGAAATCTTTGGGAGTGGGGGATGGCACTTCTAAAAAGTACACATTCCTGGTCCCACTGCAGACCTTCTTGCTTGGAATTGGCGTGTGACGGCCCTGAGGAATCTGTTTTTAACAAGAGGTCAGGATGGGGCGCCTGGGTTGCTCAGCCAGTTAAGCGTCCGACTCTGGCTTTCAACTCAGGTCATGGTATCAGGGTCATGAGATCCATCCCCGCTTTGGGCTCAGCACTCAGCAGCATGTCTGCTTAGGATTCTCTCCCTTTCCCTCTCCCCTTCCCCCCTCCCCCCTCCCCTCCCCCTCTGCCCTTCCCCTTGCTCGTGCTTTCTATCTCGCTCTAAAATAAATAAAGCTTAAAAAAACAACAAAAAAAATTCCCGCAAGAGGTCAGGTGATTCCTATGCTCAGGAAGCACTGGAAAACACTGGTACAAAGTTATGTGGCAACTAAAAGTTGCCTACACTTGGTAACATCTTTATCAAATTCTCTGCAGGTGAAACCAAATGAAACAGCCAACCTAAGTGAAACAGATCTTTTATTTCCTCTTTTTATTACTAACGTTTTCCTAGGACATTCGGGTGAACTACTTACCATATGCATTTGGCCCCAGTCTCTCCTTGTTAGGAGTTTCTTCCAAATCTGTAGGATCAAGGCATTTACACTCTTGCGTTAAAGAAAAAAGAAACTGACCTGATGCACGAAAATTGCTCCTCATGAGAATCCGTGTTATTGCAATTATCCAGTCAAGAGCCTAATTCATATAAAAGAAACAGAGACATGTTTTCTTTTCATCTAAAATCATTTCATCTTAAATGGTATCTGACCATTTACATATACACTTTTTTTTAAAACTGTAAA